TAAAAGCATCTGTACAAGTATATTATCACTGGTCTTGTAATGACAGTCAAATTAACCGTTTGAATATCTTATAGCCACTGGATGAAATTTAACTAAATTCATCTCAACCCTCGAATAGCTTTTACAAACTATTGTGTTCTTTTTACCAATTTTTTTTTTTTTAATCCTTATTTTGATGTCACTGTTGACTAGTGAATATATAAACAGTCTTCTTCCTGCCTCTGCAGAAAAATTAGCCTACTGCCATCAAAAAGTACAGTCGGCAGAAAGATACTACAGTGTTTCATTTGCATTTGATTGGAATACTGATAACACATAACTGGTCTGCTCCACTGGCTGCAAGGTCAAAGTTATTCTCCAAATAACATGTGGTCAGATTGAGGCTCTAGACATTTCAGGCTATTATTCTTCAAAATAAACTCCTGACTGTCAGTTTCAATAAGATACATTGTGTACTACATTGTGCTTTTCAGTGTGTTAGAAAAAATATGGCTGCATGATTAATTTTTAAAATAGGGAACTAAGTACTTCTAAAATAGATCATAAATACTATAAACAATGGACTTTAAAAAGTTTCCTCAGTTCACAACTGATGAAGCAGTCAACAGGGATTGCATAACGCATTCCTCGACACTTTAGCCGCTCCTTCCTTCGTCTTCCAATGAGATCTACATCAATTTCTCTTTGACCTCTTCCCACTTTTCGCTGGGAATGATCCACATATAGTCGAAACACCCTCCCATTATCGCGAATCGTTAACCGATTTTGAAGTGGAAGCGGCGCCGCGCCTTTCCGTTCTTCACTCGCCGACTGATAGCTCCCCTCCCGCGGTATCGAACCGCTTTTGCTTGCTCAACTCGTTGGGAGAGGCGGTCTAGAAGCGATGCACCCATGTAGATTCACTGATGTAGGCAGTCTTCCTCGTCTCTTTGCGACTCGATGCTTGACGGTCCCCGGCACTTCCCTCGGCGAGCGGGGCGAATGTTGTGCCGTGGCGACACGGTATCGGAACGGATGGCAAGATCACAGACAGGGACAGCCGGCTGCGGCCCGGCTGGGGGCGGGTTCGGCCCGCCACGGGGCCCGCGGCCTCAGCCGGCGCGCTTCTGCGCCTTGTGGGACTTGTGCGCCTGGAAGAGCTCCTTGATGTAGCCGTCGCTGTAGGAGGCCGTGTTGGTCGGGCTGCACATGTGGCCCGAGCACGGCGTCGGGGGCAGGAGGTGGTTGGTCCGGCTGATGCAGCCCGGCCGCAGGGTCTGCGGGTGCACGCCGAAGGCGGACTGCTCCGGGCAGGGCTCGGTGGCGCCCAGCGGGTGGCAGCGGCCGTCGCCGCCGCCCTCGACGGGCCACAGCACCAGCGGCATCACGGCGGTGCTCTTGGTCTGCATGTCACCGGCCTCGTCCTCGTCCTCGTCCTCGACGTTCAGCTGGCGCACGGCGCGCTGCTCGGGCTGGTGCTGCCAGCAGGGGTCGCGCACGCACAGGGCCTGGTCGGCCGTGCCGTTGATCTTGGGCACGAGGAGCTGGCCGTCGGCGCAAGGCCCGCGGTGGTACAGCTTGTAGCACGCGCCGTCCCGCGGGTTGGCCGGGTCGCGCGCGTGCGGCTGCGTGCGCATGCAGGCGCACTCCCCGAGGCCGAACGGGTTGGACACGAGCAGGTTGCCTGGGTGCGGGCAGAGCGTCTCGCGGTCGCGGAAGCGCTGGTAGCAGCGGCCGTCGCGCGGCCACAGCACCTCGCGCTCGGCGCACGGCACGCGCGCGCACACGGGCCGAAGGCGGTCGGGCGCGCGCGGGTCCAGCACGAGCCACTCGTTGGACTTGCACGGCCCCGTCGATAGCAGCTGGTAGCACTTGTTGTCGCCCGGGTACAGCAGCTTGAGGTCTTCGAGGCACGCGCGCTCGGCGGCCGTCACGGCTGGCGGCGCTGACAGCGCCCCCGCCCTGGTTGCCTCGGTGGGCTGGCGGGTGATGGGGACGCCCGCGGTGGAGCCCACGACCAGCAGCAGCGCGGTGACGAGCAGCAACATGGTGAAGCTCTCTGGGGTGGTGCGGGTGGTGCTAGGGAGGTGGTGCGGTTGAGCCTGCGGCCTCGGACTCGAGTCGACTGCAGCAGCTGCTCTGCGCTCGCGGCGGACGCGACTCGGCGGCGCACTGGACTGCGGTCAGACACGGACAGGTCCACTCGCGTCGGCGGTCTGCGCACTTCTGGCCGGCGGACCGCGCGCCGGGCCCTCTATGTAGACTCGGTCCGCCACCGCGGCCCCGCGCCTCCGCGCCTGCACCGCGCCCCCGCGCCCCGCGCCCCGCGCCCGTCCGGCTCGCCCGAAGCCGGTTGGGGACGAGCCAGGGCGCTGCCGCGGCGTGGAGCTCTCGCCGACACCGTGCTACCCCTCTCCCCCCAGCCCCGCACTGCCAGCCATCAGTGAGTAATGCACCACCCCCACCCTCCAGCGAGAAAGCTGAGCTGGGATGACCTCCGTGACCCCTGGCTGGCTATGACCCACCCGCCTATCAGCTGGCGACAGCTGCGTCCAAACCCCGCACCATGGCCGCCACCACCCACCCTTCGACCCCCCTACACAAGTACCCGTCTCTCCCTTTCCCCACTTGTTTGTCTCCTGTTCTCACTTGCCTCGCTTGTTTGCCTCATTTACCTCACTATTGTCTTTTGAGACTGTGTTGTATGGCCTTCTCGGAAGCGACGGTCCTGGCGAAGGGGAGGAAAGAGATTGGCACGGCTATCGGCATCGCCTCGCCTGACCTACCCCAGTCCTAGCCTCCTGCACTCAGGACGACTCTACCCGCACTGAGTCAACCTCCAGTCTCGTCATCCTCGGGTCCGCGCGCTCGCATCCGTCGTTCGACGTAGCATTATTGCTCTATGGGAAAAAAGCAGAACCCGCTTTTCGTCTTCCCGCACGTGACCGCGAGGAGGACGGCCGTTCTGCTTTTGTTTTGTTTACGGAACTCGGTCCTGACCCCGTCCAGTCCGAAGCTGACCGCCGCGCCGCCGTCGCCGCCACGCTACTTTATTTTTTATCGTCTTCTTCAAACGAATAAATTAGCAGTCGGATCGCGGAGTCTGAGTGCTGCTTTGGGAGGCTGCGCCGGCCGAGGCCCCGGCTGCGGGGGCCGGCAGAGCGGCGCCCGAACAGTAGTTATGTCCGTCCCACATGCGGTCAGGAGGAGGCGCCGCGGCCGGGCGCCGCGTCCGCCGCGGCTCATCGGGCAGAAGAAGGGAAGGCCCGCCCATTGCGACGGCGTATGAAGGCGATTACCGCACTTGTGGTTTTTGGACTTGTGGCAGCGCGAAAACTCGAAGCTCTGTAGCTGTGATGTGTTTATATGTACATCATCCGAGAAACGTCCTATATGCTTTACAACATTACGCGCGTGCTTCATGCTTCATTTGGTAACTTTTGAAGGCCATTAATGTTAAGAACCATTTGTTGATTTTTATTTTTTTTATTTTTTTGGCCGCCACTTTCCGCCTCACGTTAAGGTAGGGCTGCCCGGGGTTCCTCGTCCGCCAAAGCCTTTCACTGGCGAAGAGGCAAATCGTTGGCGGAATATCGAATTGGCCTCCTGGCGCTGCGCGCCTCGCCGCACGCCCCGCAGAGCTGCGCGACTGGTCGGCGACTCCTCCTGGAAGGTTTCACTCCCTACAGAATCGCCACACTGCAAACTCTTCGATCACCTTACGTGCCAAAAAATATTCAAGATGTTGAAATTCATTTCGAAGGCCTTTTACACATGCTTTGGTGCTCGGGGGTTTTTAGTGAAGAGGGTCGTACAACATTCAGCGCCCCCGAGAAGATATGCGACAGTGTTTCGGCAGCATTGAAGGCCAGAGCCTCGGCAGCCCATTCTTTATTAATACAGTGGAACACGGAACCTGACGGAACCGCTTTCGGAAGGCGACGCTCCAGCTTATTAATTAAACACGTCTGGGTTGATGGCCCCGCCGGTAACTCCCCAACCTTGTTTAACCCCGGGGGGGGGGGGGGGGGGGGGGGCTGCTGCACCGCGCCTGCAGAGCCGGTCATGAAGGGGGGCGTTCAGGAAGCGTAACAGGGAGGAAAGATTGTGATGGGGGGAAAAAAGACACACTTTGGAGATGTTGACTTGGAAGTGGTGAGGTAGGTACCTTCACCTTGCTGAGGTGGAGCCGAGGAGGACGGGTTGGTGAGGAGGCCGTGGCGCTGCGTGGGGTGGAGGAGCAGGAGGAGACGCAAATAGCGAAAATGTGACGCAGGCTAGAATGGCGTGAAAGACAGGAGGAGAAGAGGCGTGCCCCAGAGTGCTTTGCTGCTGGTGCTGGTGTCGCTTTTACCGCAAGGTCGTGAGAAATCGGCGCGCTTTGCGCCGCGCGGACTTGTGCCGGACTTCCCCGAATCGTTGCTCGGCTCAATTGCCTTATTTCTCCTCTCGCCTGCCTTGCCTCGCCTCTAGTACCACCCGCGCCGTAAGGCCTAATAATGTACGTATTGTTCGAGCAGGAATAAACGCGACAGGATACTACCGAGTCATAAAGTCGTTTGTCAGCTGTCGAGTGAGTGAGGTGAGGTGAAGTGTGGGGGGGGGGGGTATGAAGTCATCGTGCGATAGTGGTAGTTATTATTGCGAGGCTCGGTGCAACTCTCCACTACTTTGATGTAATCGGAGCCGCGGCGTTTGTTGTCCCCTGCTCGTCTTTTTCCACTGACCGGGCCGCGTGGAGGTGGAGGGGCCGGTGGGTGCAGCCGCGGGTGCAAGCTAGGTGCAAGCCCACAATCCAGGTCAGGCCGCCGCCGGAGTCGACTGCGCGTTATCGGCCGGCCAATATAGTCGCGTGAGGCGCGATGCACTCGCTTGCATTCAATCTCCCCCCGGCCCCGGCCGGCCCCGGCCCCGCTCCCTCGCGTGAGGCTGTGGAAAAACACCCACGTGCGCGTGCTGCAGTCGGTGCAGGCCGCGGGCTCACCCCACCGCCACGGGATTTGCCGTGCGGCCGCCGCTACTATATACCCTACACTGTAAAAGCTAAACAGTACTATTTGCCTTGTACCCCTATGTTGGGGTATCGTCAACTGTTTTATGCGGACTGAAGTCACCGTCGGAGGGGTATTTCGCCAAGTACCCCTCCGAGGGGGTCCTCTTTACCCCTAGGTGTTTGGTGGGGTCAAACCGCACTGCATGTAGGGGTATACTGTTGACGGGTACTTTCTGGCCCCTCGCCGGGGTACAGGTAACCGCCATAGGGAGTGTGATTTTCACCCAGCTCGGGGTTCTGTGGTCCCCGTCGGACGGGGATTACTGTTGCTCTGCTCTTCCCCCTCTTCCGCACCCGCCCTCCCCGGAGGGAGAGGG